CTCATAGCACAATCATGTTTCCATCAGTTGCTATACAAATTCTGTATATATATCAAGTATGATTTAGAAGAAATCTGACTTTGGAATTTGTTGCCTCGAAATTAGGCGTCTGTATCTTTAAGAAACTTTTACTCTTTCAAAATCTCTGCCTTCAGGAAGTCATCTCAACATTGCTCAAAAAGAGAACTGTATCCATTTTTAATGTTTTATGTTTCACTGTTTGTTTCTAGATGCTGTCAACATTATGTTGTGCTACTCTAAATGATTAGCGCTTCAATTTTAAGAGGTACTCTTTAAAAGCCCGAAGAGGGACAAGTGCTGCGAATTAGCTGTTGCTATTGCACTGTGATGCAAACATGGGACTGCTGTTCCACTCAGTTTGTCGATGTGTCTCTGTCCCTATCAAATAAACTTAATAATGACAATAATAACAACATTTTTATGAATGTTGCACTGAGACGTAGCTCAGCAGATGCACAGTTCCACCAGGCGTTTGCTAATTCCTGCCAGCTAGTCTGAAGGAGCTGAGTGGTGGAGTCGCGAGGCCAGGGCCGCTCCGGAAACTTTAAACGTTTCACTTCCCGCTCGGTCCAACTGCGCTTCCTGATCAGTTGAATTGTAGCCATGGAGATCAAAGGATTTCTCAAACCCGCGTGGATGAGCCAGGTGTGTGTTTGATGGAGGAATTGCATGACGACACTTTTTTACATAATACCGCCCCTTTAAGATTTATTTCTCATCCCTTGTTGCCTTTTTTCTGTTCCGGCTGTAGTTTATTTTCTGTACAGCCTCCATTTGTATTGGTGTCCCTGTATTGCATGTGCTGACCCCCTCACATGAGGCGACTCGCGCAGACCTCAGAGATCCTGTTTCCTCCCCAGCATCTCTTCGCCCTGCGCAACATGAGGGAAAAAAAAAAAGAAAAAGGAAATCAATGGGGCGCACCGTCAACATAAGCAGCCCTTAATGCTCTTCCTGCGCGATAGGACCAAATTAGATTGCAGCCGTGGCCTGTAATAGCACGGCCGGGCAGGTGAAGAGGATTGAAATTGACGGTGATTGAAAATTAATCGAATGACCCCGACATGGGATCCGCGGATGCGCTCGTGCCCCGCAGGTTGTTCATGAAGCAGCGGATAATTGCACTGACAGGCCACCGGTGCTCGGGAGCGTGACCTGGAAGGAAAGGTCAAACCTCACTCGGCGACAGTCTGAGGAGTCGATCCGTACGGACGGACGGACGCTCGCTCGCTCGCTCGCCTTCGAGCGGACGGTTTCCCGATTCGTTTTCATATTTCCACAGATGACTGTGGGTGAAAAACTCTGTCGCGTCATGAGCATAAGCAGATTAACAGCTCTGTTTTCTGTGTGGCACACGCGTTAGAGCGTTTAGCCGGTTCTTTGTTACGGGGCAACAGTGCCGGCTTTATCGCTGCACTCTTCTCCTGTCGTCTCAGTGACTGTAAACAGAGCGTTTGGCTGATACGAAGGAAAGCCGGTCGGGGAGAGCAGAACCTCGTTGCTATGAGGAGCCTCTCTGCTCAAACGGTGAACTAAAACTGTTTCTTATTGCACGCTAATGAGAGCGTGCAGGAAAATAACCAGCAAGAGTCCTATTTTCTTTCCTCTCCATCCTTCACCTAATGCAGTCGGCCCCCGGCTCGTCTTCCAAATTTGATGCGGAAAGCTTTTTGTGTGTGTTTTTGCTCATCCAGATGCTTAAAATATTCTAAGTACAGTTTTCATTCTCTCTGATTTATTTTGTGCGATAAATCGCCACGGCAGAAAATAAATGAATAAAAGAAGATCTAGGTATCCTAGAATGGCAACGCAGGTCATGAACTCGATATTCAAAAAAGTGAGTGTAATAGTGATGGGGAGCAACAGAAGCTGGCGTAGAAACGTTAAAGATCCAGCAGCCTTGACTGTCCGCGCTCTTTATTGTTTACTTTGTAAATATTTTAGCTACTATGCTTGCTTTTATGAAAGAAATTTCTGCTTTCAGAAAAAAAAGCGAATCCTCCAGTTGGCAAAATGAAACTTTCAAATTTTGTTCGTGATTTGGTGTGTGTGTTAATTCATCCCTTTTTTAACCACTTCTGTTTAAAAGTGACTTTCACTATCAAAATGCAGGCGCTTGGAAAGTCAAACATTTCAGGTCAACTTCTTCAATAATTATTCTAAAAAATTGACGCACATGTAGTATATGGTGGTGTATTTGAAGCCTTTCATTTTGTTCATTTTGGGATTCTCAGAGATTTAGGAAGCTGCATAAAAGTCATCAAATATTTAATGCTAATTTAATGCAGGATATGCTATGTCAATATCAAGTTAAACTGTTGCAGCAGATAGTTATCAACATGCTCCACTAATGTCATTGTGAAAGGCCATGTTCATAAAGCTCTGAATCTAAGAATAATATTGGAAAGTTGAGTGGAAGAAAAATGTGAAAATTGTTTATCCGCTGTCCTATGTAGCCATGGCAACAAGCCTCAGCATTCCTGGTTAGCTCTCTTGTTGTGAGCCTGCTGTAGCACAGCAGAATAAAAAGGTGGAGTGTGTGAGCAGCGTGAACACGAAGCTGATTGACACCGATAAGACCCTCCTCCTCCTAGGTTCTGATTGGTTATTCCAAGCCCATCAGTGGATTTCTGCAGATGGCAATAGGACCACAGAGAGAAAATGAAGGAGCTCAATTTTTTTGACTTGCGTTTCATGTCATACAGTCATAGTGACAAGGTGACAGCTTAAACATATTGCGCCTAAAAGTTACGTACTGCAGCTTTAAATCTAACCCCTCAGCATATCCTCGTCTTTTTGGGCCCAGCTGTATGACAGTGGACTGATGCTACTGTCACTATTTTTCCTTTCTGTAAATCAACTAAGGTGAGCCTATATTGCAGTCTTGTAATATAGGAAGTGATGAGATTCAAATTCTTGCATCATGTCTCTGACTTCCTGGACGCCGCGGACCACAATGCACTTGTGTTATCCAGAAGCGCGCTGTTTACTGCTCCTCTGCTGTCCCGTTGTTCCGCTGCGCCGCAGTGTGCGTGATGGCGGTTGCCCTCGCCCTGTCCTTCCCGTCCGCGGCGGAGCATCTGCCCACCCCTCCACCGCCGGAGGGTCTGCGGTCCGTGTGTCGGCGTGGCCACCTGCACTTCACAGCTCTTGACGGTTCGCATATTTGGCGTCTAAACATAACTGGCAGGCACAGATCAAGAGAAGAACCGACTGAACGACAGCAGCCGGATCAAAGTCCGCGTACACAAACAACTCGTGAAAATCCTCACCGCTGCCCCCCCCCCCTCTCCGGCTCCTCTCCAGAGCTTGGACGTGTTTGTCTCAGTCGCGTAAAATCAAGGCCTCGCCGAAATTCCCGCACACCTTCCCTCCTCTGCGTGAGGAAGACACACGAGATCCAAGTGTTTCATCTCGTCTCCTCCAGCTTGAAAGGAACGTGCAAGCATCTCTCCAAGTGCCCAGCATGCTTCTTCTTCCCATGGAGAGGTGCATGTTTGTTTTGTTTTTTGTTTTTTTTTTGGTTGGGCACGTTGCCTCATTGAGGGAAGGAAGGACATGTGAGGATCTGAGGCAGGGCTTCCATCCAGAAGGAGACGATTAGAAAGAGTCCAGCCGGCGTTGATGTGCTGACGCGTCTGCGGCACCGATTACAAGCCGAACTGAGATGAAACTGAGAAACCGAGGCCGGTTTGGGTCGAGGAATTGAATGTCTTCGGTCTCCACAGATCCGCAGCCAGCCCGGCGTCCCGGTGCGGCAGAGATCTGGTCACCATGGGGATGAGACAGACTGCATTATCTTCTCAGTGGCCGCCCGGCTCAAGAAAGCGCTCCATGGACAGGCAGGCCAAGACACGCCCTGCAGAAGAGCCTTATGAAACTCTAAATATCTTTTTGGACTGGATCATAATTCGTCACGACACAATCGTAAACTTTCAACATTTTGCATCCAGACTACATGTGGAATGCAAACTTTTGTCTGCACAAATTTTGAGTAGTTTAACTTTATTGAATGGAGCATTCCAAGTCAAGTCAATTTTATTTTAAAAGCACATTTCAGGAGCAAGGCAGTTCTATGTTCTTCACAAGGTGAAAGCACAAATAAAAAGCTGTATAAACGACATGCTAGAAACCAGTAACAAACATTTTGTCAAGTGCCATCATCAAAATCATCAACAGGCATCAAATTTGTCAATGTTCCATTGATTATGAGTCCAAAGCAACTCTAAACATGTGGGTTCTTAGGCTTGAGTTAAAGGAACTCAGTGTTTCAGCTGTTTTGCAGTTTTTTGGAAGTTTGTTCCATATCTGAGGTGATGCTTCTTTGTGTTCCGATAACATATCGTTTTTGGGATAATGGCCAATTAAGAGTCCAGTTGCCAAAACTCACAAATCACACTGCAAAGATGTGGAAGGAGTTAATTGAGGTGAGTGAAACCAAAATGTAGCTTTTTAGCCAATAACCAAGACACAGTGTGTGGTGGAAGACTAAAAATACCTTTGAAATCGGCCCAATCTGACTCAAACTAGCTTATCTTTCAAGGAAGAACGAGCGAAACAAACAACTGCAACTCTAGACCTGCAGTTGTAATTACAACAAATGGAGGTTCTGGAGAGCTTTGACCAAGAGACCGAACCATGCTAGAGCAACATGGTTCGGTCTCTGAAACCAGGTGTTTGAGACTTTAGCTGCGAAGGCAAGAACTTTGGCCACTGACGGGGAAATCAGAGGAGGAAAAAATCGGAGGAAACCGGACCGGTATACACAACCAGACAGAACGCTCACTTCTAAATCTCTTCTGCGTGTCGACTCAGGTGGACGAGATTCATCACGTTGTAAAGATTAGAGGGGCTGAGAAGGATTTTCCAGCTTTTTCTCTCTTGAATTTAAAATGTTGTTCTTACTGCTGGTAAGCCAATAACATGCAACCATTTAAGCTGTGTGTGTTTTTTCCCCTCTCTTTCTTCTTCTCTTGCAGGTGTTCCTAATAACATTGGTCCAGTCAGTAAGTAAACAGCATCAGAATACTATTAATACTAAATAAGTACAATTAAAAAAAGAAAAGAAAGCACTCTATTAATGCTTGATGCTTCGCTTTACTTTGCTTTGCCTGCTGTTGTGCCCTTCATCAAACACCCTAAGCGTGGCGCCGAGTGTTCATTTCTGATCCAAATCCACCTGCGAAAACTCTCTCAACAAGTATTGACTAACATTTTCATTGGCGGTTGTTAGCGTGAGGCGGTGAGCACTAACTGGAGGCGAAATTGTCATGATGCGGGCATTTTAATTTACTCCGTTCAGACTCGACCAGATAGCACTTGCCTGGCTCTGCATGCCCAATGTCATTTGTTTTTGTGGGGTTTTTCTGCCCCTCTCAGTCGCCCATGCATTATAAATAAATGGCATCTAGACTTTATTAAAGTGCAGAGACCTCTCCGGCGGTATAATGTCAGGTAGGGGCGGGGCAGGAGGGGAGAGGGTCATTTTAATATGAGCCTCAAACGCCTCGGCTGGTATTATCTTCGTCAAGCAGTATCCCCCTGAGGAGGATGGAGCAAGAAAAGAGGTGCCACGTCTCAAGTTACCGCTGCCTGGAAGGCTGCGTGATGCAAGGAGCCGTACGACTGTATCGAACAAGCCAAAGTGCATCCTGCACAGCCAGGCTCAAGTCTCCTTAATCTTCTTTATTCCCCGTGACTAAGCAGCGTTCGCCAGATTGATTGGTAAATTGCCTCCTCCCTGTCCGATTCTCCGCCAACGTCGAATGGCTCGGTTAAACAGCCTCGTAAGATACGTCTTCTTGATTTTGATCGATGGTCATTGTTCATTTATTCAGTTCCCCTTTGGTGACAGTAAAGAATTTTTGAGCTCTCGCATAGAAACGTCATTCCGGGTCCTTCACGTTTATTGGCACAATTGGTAAAGAAGCCTTAAAGCAGATGATACAGTCGCACTACCTTAAATGGGGCTTTCTTTGAAACCTTGAATAGAGCTTTTACTCAGTGATGAATAAAAAAAGATTTTATTTATTTTTTAACAAATCTCTGGTGCCCCAGTCTAATTGTGTAATCAGTATAAAATACTTCAGTGTAACTGAAGTATTTTATAGTTTGAGGAAGCAACGAGAAATTTACCTCCAAAAAAGTTGCATAACATGACACAGAACCAGTCGTTTTGCTTCTCTAAGATAGAATCACACTAAAGTTTTTCTTCTAGAATTGGCATCTTATTTCTAGTTGCTAATCCCTCCCTGAAAAAATAACCACGTTTTAAATGTTAATTTCTTCAAATTCTGAATTTTAAGTGCACAAACAATGCTCAAGCTTTTGGCAATTTGATTTAACAAAACCTCAGACAATGTAGTAAATTTTCTTTTTTTTTTTATTGACAATTGTGTCAATAAAAGTGTTTTAAAAAATATACATATATATATATATATATATGTAGAGAGGACAAAGAGTTAACAACCTCCTGTTCTCATCCTCTTTGTCATTATTCCCCAGTTAAGATACGCATTTAAACAGTTTCTCAAAACATGTTTGTCTGGGTCTTGAGATGGAAACAGATTGTCCCCAGGTGGCGTTTTAATCAGGCTTACGCTGGACGAAAACACCGCTTTAAAGTGCAACGCTTTAAAGTGAGACGAGTCAGAAATGGACACACAGCCGAGTCCCGGTCCACACACACTCCCTCCCTCCCACTTCTAACAATCTCCCGCTGCCTCCCCCCTTTCATCACATCTGCAGAAGTTATGCCTCTCCTCTGCATGGCAGGAGTAAAGCGCGATGTGTGTGTTTGCGTGTGTGTGTGTCTGCATGGTCCTCGTACATGCTTGCGTGTGCACATCCGGCTTCTCCATCTCATCCAAAAATGCCAGGCCACACCATGTCCAACGGTTGTCCTCAAATCCTTCACATGGAGAGTGTCGAACCTGAAAGATGTGTGTGTGTTTGTGTGTGTTTGGAGGGTATGGTGAGGTAGAATGTAGACCAACCCAAAGTCTTCGCTTCTTATCCAGAAGATTGCCCCTCCATCGGGGTAAGGAGGAAGGGATTAGGATTTCTCACGACTTAGCTGTCTCGACAGAACGATGCTAACAGTAAAACCTAAACGTGCCGGCTAAACGTGCCGGCTGCCTTTGTTTTATAAAAAACACGCTGAAAGCAAAGGATGATGCTGCTTTCCGCACAACCAAATATCAAGTTTATGTCAGCATTATTAGCAAAGCAGCAGGGGGTGGGGGAAAGGAACGGAGAGGCAAAAAGGTTATGACGTCCTTGAGGTTGTTGAAAGGACTCGAGGCGGAGCGTTGCGCTTTTTCATGTTGTTGGTTGAAGGTAATTGAATTCCTTATTGACTTTTCTCCAATTCTATTTCAAGTTTATTAAGCCGGGCAGAATTGCCTAATGCGGACCATTAAAGTGAAATTAATATTTTAAAAACAATCCCGGCCCTGCTAGATTGCATTTCATTACGAGTATGGCATTGATTAAAATCCGTCACCACTCATTTAACTCGCCTTACCTGCATATTCTCCATAGACGGGGGGGTAGGAGGGACCCAGATGTGTGTTGCTTCCAGGCAATCGCAAACATGAAATCAGCCCTATTGAACGTATATCTCACAGATCCGGCCAGGGCGTTCGTCGGCCTCGTGTCTTAATCGTTTGTGTTCTTTGGGAGCTGCTTCGCTCCTCAGAAAGACAATGGATGCAAAATAAAGATAGTGGAAAGAAAACAGGGCACTTCACGTACGATATAAGACCTGAGTTTGAGTGGTGATGAGCCGTGCCCTGCTTCTTAAGCTCTTTATTTGTTAATCTGTCATTTCAAAGAGCTTCTCATCCGGCAACTTACACGACTTTAAACCCCCGGAGATGTCACAGTCTGCAGTGACACGGGGCTCTCCGCGTAAGCGCGGCTTTTAAATATTCTTTTTTCTTCTTAAAAAAAAAAAAAGAAATAAAGATATAAAGGGATTAGAACGCTACTTGATAAGAAGCAGATTCAGAATCAATAACTAGTAAATCTGAGTTGCTTCAAACGTTGCTGCCGGTGTGTAGGTAAACGAACGGCCTAACGAAAGGGATTTGAAACGTAGACGGGGCCTTGCACAAACATTCGCAGCCCTTGAACTTTTTCACGTTTTGTCTTGCTCCGACTGCAACATAATTTAATGGATTTTTTTTTTGTTTCCTTTTGTTTTCGTGGTAACGCGGTGTGAAAAGTCTCATTTGATCGACTGATACCACTCAATAAAATCCAGTGACAATATCATAAATATATTTGTTTTGATTGTTAACCAATCAATTCTCAATAAAATCCATAAACGTTCGCAATTATAACACAACAAAAATGCAATAAAGAAATATAGATACTTAGGCAAGGCCCCTCACGGTAAAAAAAAAGTCATTTATTGAAAGACCGCCTCATGAACACGTCTCGTATTCTTTTTGCATGCATAACTAGGGAAACGGGCTCCTTGCCAGGACACCGCTGGATGTTAATTGGGAAAGATTGCATGATTCATGGAGTCGATAGCGAAAGGACAGAAAGATCAAGTGAAGAGATAAAGGGGCACAAAGAGGAAAAGTTATCCGGATTCCTCCCCGTTTGGCTGAGTCCTCTCCATTTCCAACCACAAAGTATTTCCCTGACACGGAAATACTGACTTGTATGTAATTATGAGGTTATGCTACCCACAGCAGTCCGTCATTCCAAGTGCCAGCACCTGCCATTATTTATTCATTGTTATTCCTCCACCAGAAATACGCCATAATTAGATATTGATTACAAAGTCAATGTGATGAATTAAACAAAATGCCCCCTAAAGTCTTCATTTGCCATTCGTAGTATCAGTTACTCGACATAAATCATGTATGAAATGCTACGTTTAAGAGAGCTTCATCTCTCGTCTCTGTAGTTCTGTGCTCATTGCTGCACACACACACCCAACAATCACACCAATTACATACAACGTTGTTCCAATGTCCTTTTAAAGGATCTTTGGATGCATTCTCCTTGCTCGTCCATGTCAGTCCTGCACCCCCCATTTGTATTTGCAGATTCCCCGACCTACTGATTTGAGTCATGCCGGACATCTTCATGTCTCCAGTTGTCTGTGTCGACGACCACGTAGCCCCCCCTCACCCTCCCTTCCCGTAGACAATCTGTTAAGTGAGTCACGCAAAAGGCACATGAATAACAACTTATTTCTTCTAATTGCACGCAGTACGGCCGAATGTCTCATCTCTAGGTGTTGCTAACCGAAAAGAAGGTAGGCATTTAAGATTGTGACACCAGGTACCTTTTCCACAGATTCATTTGAGATCTTTGTATGATATATCAACATAAACTGGCTCTCAGTAGCCAAAAGTGCTGTGTTCCATTTACAAGAGAATTATTTAAGTGCTTATTTTGCTGTTATGAAGGTTTAAAGGAGAGTTCTAGATTTAGAGAGGTACTCTACGATGCTGTATTATTTCTGGCCTTCAATATTTGGACTATATAGCTGTATGTTAAGATAAGAGGTTCCAAGAAAGTAGCATCTAATCAGCTGAAAAACCTGAAGGGGATTTTGGTAAAGTTATATGCAGATGACAAGCTCATCTTGGTTTAACCCATCATGCAAAGAGTCTTAAAAAATACCCACTTGCTTTCTACTTTTTTTTTTTTGTCAAACTTAGATGTTTCAGTGAAACAAAGTCTTGTCAACAAAGATAGTTTGAGTTAAATTTGATTTATTCATGGAGAAAGGCTGTCCAAAAACCAAAACCCTCGCTCCTGTGTTCAGATTATTCTGCTGTACTGAAGGCGAGACGTTCTCTGTCCAGGTTTTCTGGTAGAGCCAAGCCATCCAGCTTCTGAAGAAGATCTGCGACAAAAAGCAAAAATGTGAAATTTGCAAGAGGGAAAACACTTTTCAACACCATGACGTTGATCCGTTTCTGAATATAAATCAGTGCAGAAATATTATATGTTGAAGCCTTATGTCGAAGTACAAAAAGCGAAGGTTGGACATTACATTTATTAGACCTTTGGTTAGTTTCCTCACTTGTAAACATAAATCAATAGATGGGTGTATTCACGGCTGGTTAGGTTTTTGTGCACAAATTTAGAAGCTGAGCATTTTTGGTTATTTTGCCCTATATTGAGGAGAAAGCTTTTTGAATGGATACTTTCTGTCTGGGGGGGAAACACACCCACGGTGGTAAATAACACAGAGCTATTAGTAATTAAATGAAGTACTGAAAGGGAACAATGAGATTTTTATTGTTCTTGATCGAGGGCATTTGTAACAGATGCTGGCGCACTGAGCCAGCTCCACCTGGCACACGTCTCCTTTTTTGTCATTGCCATTATTTGTCATCGTCGAACACGTTGCCCTTGTTTTCTCTTCTTTTTCTTATCATTACTTTTACAATTTTATTGGGCACAATGCCTGTTTTTTTTATTATTATTATTATCATTATTATTTTTGTTTCTCTCTGGCATCACATGTGTTACATTTGATTGCAGTATGTTTTCTTTCATTGGTTTGTTTTTTTCTTTTAATCCATCCAGTAGCTCCTCAAGTTGCATTGTCCACTGCCCCTTCTGTCCACGCTGCAAACAGCAAGCGAGGTAGGAGCTCTGGGAATTGTACATTGTCCCCAGATGACGCCGCGGCCTTTCTACCCTGCCCTCCTCCCCCATGTGTGTTTATATTGACCTGTGACCTCCCTGATCCTTGCACCAGTGCTGGAGAGCTCCAAAATCTTAGCGTCCGAACCTCCAGCTCAGAGCTGGACTGACGGCTTTCGGCGCAAAAGTCTCGTTCTTACAGAGAATGGATTCTAAACACTATAAAAGGAGTCATTTCTTCTGCTACGACTATTTTTGGGGAACGTTTCTTCTCCCTCACTAAGCCCTCCCCCCAATGCGTGCATGATTTATGACCTTAGCCTATTTCTAGGGAAGGGAGAGTATTTGTCTTGTGCGACTACGTCTGAAGGAGTGAGGCGTGTAACGTAGGAGGGTTTTAGCTCTCGCTCAGCCAGGACCGGCTGACTCAGACGGGAGGTAGAACGGACCTCAAATTTCTGCGCCTTTTGTGGGGGGGTTTTCAAGCACCGGTCAGGTTGGTGTCGGTCGGACTGAGAGAACTGACCTCAATACAGATCCTTAATAACAGCAATCCCTTGGAAGAAATCTCCATCTGCTAACCTTCCCTGTTCTGGAACCTCGACAAGGCTGTCTGTGCACTCGGTTGCCAACAAGGCTTAAGGGTCACATCTGTCTGAGCCGTGCCACACAATGTGTCAGCGGTCACTCAGTGCGACAGACTGAACTTCACTTGGAGAGCGTTTAGTTAGGGCTGCTTTCCGACCAACTGCTATGTCTTATGTAGCACCACCAGGAAGTTACAAAGACTATATACCCGTTGTGTAAATCGCCTTCAACTTCATACTTCCTCTTAGACATGACTTATGACATGGTTGTTAGAAAACATAATTTTAGGTTTTGATTATTCTCAACTTGCTTTGTGAATCAAGGCTGTTTCACTTAAATAGGTGGTATTAAAGTGTCTGAGTTGCTATTAAATTACCAAAAAAGAACTAATTTAGTCCAATATGTTCAAGCTCAAACAGAACTGTGCATAAAGGATGCATTTGGTTAATTCTTGTTCAACCAGGAACATTCATGCACTGTAAAAGAATTTAACATTGCCCAAATTTTACTGAATAATTCTGGTAGGGAATTTTGCCTGAAGGAAATTTTACGTTATTTATTTTTTACAGTGTAGATTGTCAGCTACAAATGGTCTAGACATGTTTGTTGTAGCATCAACAATCATAAGTAGAAAACCAACATGCAAGGGTGTATTTAAACTGACCTTTCTTTAGTTTCAGAATAAATGTTCCTGTAAATTTATTAGCTAACGTCATTAAGCTAATGATGTTAGCTTAATAAAATAAAGCTATCGCCACTATAAAGACATTTCTGTTTATTCTAAAATGTCAACACTGCTCTTCATTCTCTCTCCACATTAAGCCTGGCTCTTTATTTAATACCTTGTTCAGAGTTTACATCTAAAAGATAAATGTTTAACAGCTGATTAAGAACAAGGTTTGCTAAGAACCTGGCAAAATCTAACCAATAGTCATTAATAACCTGCTAAATTTTGGTGGGTTTCGGACACTATGCATGTGTCTGATTTGAGAATATTGATTTCAGTTATTGGAGACTAGATACTTGATGTAATAAACTTGATTCTTGACTTTGAAAACTTGTGAACATCTCTACTTTGAGCTAACAAAATTGTTAAGAATCCAATCAAGGAAAGCAAAAATAATAATAAAATTTCCTACCACCCACGTGAAGATGAATGCCCACTTCATTCATGGTTTGACCTGCCTTATGCTTTGTGATGTTGAGTTGTAATCATGTCTCTGTACCATCTTTTGTCGCCTTGTGCTGTGATGTGCTTGAAGTAATGTGACCTCTCAAATCCTACTAACAATGCAAATTTTCATTTACTTTTGTGGTTGTGTGTGTTTCTAACTCTGGCTGTACCTTTGCCAGACTGACAGTGATCGACCGACATCACCTCCGACACGCAGCATCAGCATTTTCATCTCGCATGCCATGGCGCCTCTCGCTCAGACTTATGCTTACCCTTCGCTGTAGCACTCGCAGCACGAACATCTCAACCCTCTTTTACCCGTCTCTTCCCTCCACACTTCCTCTCTTCTTGCAAGACTGCGAATGCTTCGGCCACTCCAACCGATGTAGCTACCTCGAGGTGCTAAACACCGTCATTTGCGTGAGCTGCAAGCACAACACTAGGGGCCAGCACTGCCAGCTGTGCAAGCTGGGCTACTACCGCAATGCCTCAGCAGAACTGGACGATGAAAATGTGTGCATAGGTTAGTCCCCCACCTGGCCCTCTTCACTGCCATCAGGCTTCACACCTTTTCCACCTCACTTCCTGTCTGACTCCAAAAAGGTAGTGTCACTTCATGCTACACCAGTGCGTCATCCAAGTCCATTGTCCTGTCCTCATGTCCCAGAGTCTCCCTCTTTCCTTTTCCTTTTCTCCACTCTCTTTGGCACGACAGTGCAGCAAACAGTAAACAGACATAGTTTTAGCGTCTTTTATGCTTAAGATGTAACAGCAAGACTGATGTTGTTGGCTGTTTAAATTTCGATGTTGCACATTCAGTTCCTAGCTAGTGTGACGCAGTTATGCCTGAAATGTTGGCTCGTAATCAAAAAGTGTGAAATAAACTAAGCAGGGATTTCAGCGTTGTTATATAAAAAGAGCATATCAGAAAAATACAATTTTTTGAATTTTATTTCTAACAAGTATGAAAGACTGTGGCTTTCTAGAGGAAACAGCTACGTTTAACATGTGCAAACATTTCGCTGAATGGGTGTCTTGAGCATCTTCAAATTTACAAACAATATTCTTTAAAAAATTTCATTGATGGTGTAATTTAACAGCTGGAGGTAGTAAAAACCTAAACTAGCTGAACAAGGTTTGAATACGACAAAAATGCCAACATGGTAGCCTAATAGTATACAAAGACTAGTTAATGTAATAACTAGCTAGACTGTAGGCACCTAGGCAAATGACTGCATTTGAAATGTGTACACATTTAGCTAAACGTTTGTCTTGACCATTTCCAGATTCCCAACTTATTTATTTATCGTCATTGATACAACAGCAAGGCGGAGTAAAAAGCTAGGTTAGCTAAACAAGGATTGAAGTTTACAAAATTGTTAGCCTATTGGGATGCATAGACTAGTTGATAAAACTATTTAAATCATTTCAATTTCTAGAACTTTTTTGTGCAAAAATCAACAAAGACAAAACTAATTTGACAATTCAAGTAATGGTAATTATTTGATATCAAACAGCATTTGTTAGCAGTTATGCTAATTTTAAGCAAGGCTTACACTTTGCCAAAGCAGCAGATGTGTAATTGTAGCTAGTTAAGAAGAAATGTTAAATACTGGACTTAACTTGCCTGCTATTCAATGCCCACATTTTCGTAGTACACGACATGAAAAAAGGGCCGTTGTCGCCTCGTTCTTCTATTTCTGTCGTGATTCATACACAAAGATTCTTAAACCACATCCGCGTCTGCTCTGTGTACGGCAACTCGTGTAACTCCCGAGGTAATAGCCTGGTTCCCTGCTGAAATATTTTCCAAGTATCGGCAGTGTGAATTCACAGCTCCGAGTGTCGGGCGCATTTGTACATCCTGAGGGGGAAGTCTGACAGGTAACATGAGTTCTGAGAGAAATTTTTTATTTTTTCCCCCCAGAGAAGTCACACAGGCAGTCAAAGATGCCAGGCAAGTGCATATGTCATATACATGAAATGGCCTCAGGAGGAGCAGCTGAAACCCGTCACTTGGCATTAAGAGTCACAGAGGCGTTACTGAGTGCCGCGCTCGCCGTCACCCTGACTCTCTTTCTCTGACCCGCCAGTTTGTCACATGCTGTCACCTCTCTCCTCTCGCCTGACCCCTGGGTGTCACTCAGGTGAAGCCACATGCATCGCAGCCGCATTAAGGTGCAATGTTTTAGTCAGGGACTGTCAAAATAGCTGTCACTTTGACTGCAGAGTGTTCTAGTTTCGGTGGAAAGGTCAATTAAGCGTAGGTCACCGGAGACGCAAGAGGTTGTTTGCTTTCTCTTCACGTCGAAGCTTTGGTTAAGACCACCCGTCTCCGTCAATTTCGGCAAGGAGAGACGTACGTATTTGGAAGCATTTCCAGATTCCAGTTAGAATGAAGGGATTTATCACAACAATGCCCATTTCAATGTAGAGTTCTCTCATTTTTTTGTTCCACGCTGTCATCCATCTTCTATCTGTTCATCTTTATCTCCGTATGAATGACTCGGACTTTTACAGACGCATGCTCTCACAGGCTCTCCTCAGTTCATCTGAAGTCAGATCTACTGATATTGCGCCGCATCAAAGCTCATTGCATGCCAGGTTCTCCTTTTAATGGCAAATTCACTACAGATATCTTGTAATGTGTTTAAGGTGTTCATGCATTTGAATTCCACTTCATTCTTTGCTCATTTTCTCCCTTCTCATCACCGTTGAAATGGTAGCATTTTCCACTGTGTAAATTCTTGAACTCTAGTCAGACTTTTTCTGTGTGAAGTACAGGTTTGTTTCCATGCGTTAGAATATCACGGGAAATGGCGTTTATTTATTCACTATTTCATTTGAAAAAGGAAAATCTATGTGTTTTATAGACTGATTACACACAAAGAGATATGCTTGTATTTCTGGTCATTTTGATGACTCTGATTAGCAGGTAATGAATATGCAACATTCAGATTCACCTGAAATTTTCTGAGGTTTCTTGTGAGATGGCTGTGCTGCCTTTGGACTTAAAGCACAGCCAATAAACACATGCAGATGATGTTGCTCCCAAAATGATTGCAAAATGTGAAAGTTTAGTTACTGGTTCTCAAGAAGCTTGAAAAGCATTTCCACTCTTCCTCCCAACTCCCTGACCTTGATTTTCCAATTAAAATACCAGTTAAGATGATCGTCATATTAATGAAAATATTATCTTTTGTGCTTAAAGCTGAAGTGTGTAGATTTTATAATAACAATTTTTTACATATTTGCTCAACGTTTTCACTATGCGGTGACGGTATGAGACAGATAATCTGTGAAAAAATCTCTGCCTTCTCAATCACACTCCGGTACGTGCTGCTCACCCCCCTCCACCTTGCTAACGCTAGCTAGCTTGGCCACCGATGATGTCAGAAAAACAGTTTTCCTGGACTGGTAAGTTGTTTCTCCGCCATTAGCACCTTGAGTCTCGCATATACAAGCTTGATTGACAACCCTAGGAGCCTCCTCATTGCTCTGGTTGTTTTTCACTGAGTGTAAAGGTGTATTTCTCTGGATGCCGGTACGAGAACGCCTTCTTTTCACAGATTATCTGTCTCATATATCATCAGAACATACTGTACTAACATATATACAGTATTTTTGTAAAAGTTTGCAAGATGCTTCGACGTCTCTGCTTCAGGAGCGACGAGGTCTGAAGCGTTTTTTTGTCCCGGATGCGTTTTTGAGTGTTTGCTGTTGAAGCTCTGACTCAAGCTGCAGTTCAAATCTTACGAATCTGACCAAAAGTCTTCAAGGACTCTGCTTCAAAATTCTCTCAAGATTGTGGTTATCTATCCCGGTGCCACGCGTAGCTTCCCATTCACTCCCCTTCACTCAGTTTGTGAGCAACAAGCTTCTTAGGAAATAACATTTAGTCAACCCACAACAGTGGAGTTGACTCATGATTTCTCTTAGCTGTGAGCCAGAGTAATCACATTTAACAGAAATAAATGCTTGAACGTTATCCCTCTGTGTGCAGTCAATCTGTATTTTAAAGTCTTTTCCTACGATATTCTAATTTACCGATGCCTCTGACAGAACTCGGGAAGCTGTGAGCATCCTAGACGTGTGGCGGGAAGTCAAAGCACCACCCTGTTCTCCAGCCTGTGTGTGTGTGTGTCTTGTTTTTTCAGAGTGTAATTGTAATCCCTCTGGCTCAGTCAGTGATCACTGTAATGGCACAGGATATTGTACATGTAAGGAGGGCACTACGGGCCCCAAGTGTCAGGAGTGCCTACCCGGCTATTTGTGGGAAAATGGCTGCAAATGTAAGTAGAACCACGACTCTCCGTATGTCCGAAACGTCCCGACTGTCCTCCCCCCTGCTTCCCCTCCACCCCCCGACCCTCCCTCAGCTCTGTCTCCTTCTGGTGTCTTTCTCCGATGTTTACCTTCTCTGTTTGATTCCCGAGCTTTGGCTGGAGGAATGTGCTGCACATGCGCAACAGGACTGTCGATGTAGATGCCTACGCCGTTAGCCAGAGCCTTGCATCCCCTTCCCACCCGCCCCTCCCGCCCCGTGGCTGCATTAGCTATGTGGGATCGGCGGGTGCCCCTATTACGGCCTCGGAACCGGGAAAGAGAAGCAACGGCATGGCAGGATGCATGCTGCTAGGGAACTCAGTCGCAGGCTCAGGCGCGCCACTCGCAATCAACACAACAGCTGAGTCAATATTGACTGCTTGACAGGCTGCCTGCGATCCCCTCGGTGCCAACACGCAGCAGGACAGTGACGTCCAACACTGACATTTCTCTTAAAGGAGAAACGCAGGTCATTTTCAGGGCCAGCACATCCATTATAGTTTTGGCGTTTATATTTCCTCCAGCCATTTTGCAAAGCATGCCGCACCAAGCCGTCGTTTTCCTCCAAATGTCACCAATTTTTCATTGTTTTTGAGGAGCCAAAGTTTCCCTGACAAACCTGCAGGCAGAGAAACGGGAGAAGTGAACTTCAAGTGGGGGGGTGGCTGTAAAGTTCCTGACAGAGAAAATTTTGAGATAAAAGACGCTTGTGCCGTCTCTGATTGTGCTCCAGGCAGAAAATGCAACGTTTCCTTTGGATGTGACATGTGAGAGGATTTTCAAATTATTTCTTGTAGGATTCTTATGCTTATTTTCCCTTGTTTTTTTTATAGAATAATCAAAGTCTTCTTATTCTCCCTCTGTCAACTGAATAAAACTGGTAACAAACATTAACCTTAAAGAACTGCCTGGGGAAAGAACAGTTCTCTGCAAGAGCTACAACAAATAGAAATGAAATAGTGTGGATGTCCTGCACTTTTCACAAAAAAAAACCCCAACAACAACCAAATGACAGTTATTTGCTTTAAAAAGCAATCATGAAACAGGCAAACCGCTACACGAATGTACAGAAAGGAAAACTTAGCATTTCATGGTTTTTAGCCACAGAGCTGCACGGACGAACACAGGCAGTTCTTCTCGCTAACTCTGATATAAAACATGGAACGCCATGATGCATCATTGCAATAGCTATGAGTCAGTAAGATATGACAGGTCACTTTCTGACAAGAGGCCGGAAAAACAAAGACTTGCCGAATGCCGTCTCCTGTGGCTAATAATTAACTTTACGAATAAAAGTTTGAAGCTCATAAGTTTGCCCAACGTCACTGAAACTTCCAGCTGCTTCCTGGATCTGATGCTGGCTATCGAAGCTAGCTATAAAAAACTTGTGAAGGTTTTTCTAAGGTGTTTTACATGGTATCTCCAAAACAAAAATCAGAAAAATTATACAAGGTATGGATACATGGACTGAGTCGCTAACTTCACAATAAAAGATTGCTGCCAGTGCTGCTGTTGTTTATTATATGTAAACTAATTTCACATTGAATAATGTTTCTAATGATCTTCAACAGTGGCAAATAACAGGAAGATGATCAGTCATATTCAGCGTTTTAAACTTATGTTGTTGTCCCTTAACGCATTTGGCTTTAGGTGTGGAAGTCAGTGATGTAAAAATGTGATTTCGACTCACTTGGCGAATGTTGAAATGACTTGGACATCCCTGCTTTTACCCGAAAAACAGACACTACATAAATGAACCTGATTTCTCTGCAAAAGCTTAACAGGCACATCAGTGAGGGAGGAACTTCTCCTGAACGCGGTTAGATCCAACACAGCGCCGCACATCGCAGCGTTCCTGTATCGTTTGTCGTGGAGGTGCATGACACACAGGAGGTCAGTCACAGTTCAACCCTCATTCCTGCCGAATGCAAAGTAACTTCAACGCAACACATACTGTAACCGAATGATGCCGTATTTTGCTTCGATTTTTGATTTAGTCATTGTCAAGTCTGAAACGTTCCCGACCCGCTGGGTTGTGATTTATATTCAGTGCAAAATACACTGGGCTATTTTAGTCATTTTGGCACAGATGGATCTTCATTAAAATGCACTGTTTTTCCACTGCAACTTGTTGGTGGCTACTAATATATTCAGCGAGTACAGAGTAAACACACGCTGTCAACACGCACATCTGTTTCCACACAAAGAGACGTTCGGGAGGGAGAAACGAGCGCGGCGTGCGGTGAATTTGCGCTGAATCTCGACGCGCTACACGGTGCAAATGTTTTGGGAGGGTTGTCATAAATCCATAACCGATGTTGAACAGAATTGGAGCCTGGCTCCACTTTCAGTACATCCTGGTAGGAACTTTGTTTATCCCAGAAATGACCAACCTAAACCTGAATAAGAGAGCAGATAGACTTCTCTGCAGTCTCCCATTTGGCTTCCTAACCATAAATACTGACTTGTTACCCAACTGTAGTTGGCTGGAGTGTAAAAACTTGGCCTTGTGACTAATTAAAGGCCATAAAGAGAAAAATAAGCATAAATCCTGAAGATCCTCTAGATGTGTATGCATTTTACTTTACAGTATCGTGCATCTTTACATAATTGTCTAAATATTATGTTTAGCTTGTAAAAGCTCAGGGACAGTTAAGATCTCTGTACAGAACGTTGTCTGCATTCAGAGGAGCTGCTTCAGAAAGTTGTTCTCTGTCCTATTGAAAATAATTGATGCATTTTATTTGAGGACAGGCGATCAAAATCTCAACACCCCACCATTAGTTCTTTATCAGCTGCGCTGCGATGTAGCGCCGGTTCCTTGGGATCCGCCGCTGCAACACGTAAAGCGCCCTCCACGGTTATTGGCAATCTTGGCCAATACGTGACAAGGGTCTTGAGATAAATGACATTTTTATGGCAGTAGAATAATAAAATCCAACCTTTAATTTGAGAACACGTTTCCAATAAATTGATGGTGCCGCGTTTAGAGGCAGGCTCGGTAGTTTCTTTAAGATACTTTTACCTGAGGGCAACTTTTGGGTACCTCTGGGTTTTATATCAAGCGTTTCTTGAAAGTGTCCATTTCAATTGATCTTATCCCGTTTTGTTGTGGCATAAAGGTTTACCTGAAGCGGTGCCACTCTTCAAAACAGGAAGCACAAGAGAACACTGTGTTCCTGTGACTCTCACGAGTCAAGAAACGGATCCGAGAGTCTCGCCTCGCGCTGGTTTGGATCTTAAATGTCATTTTTTAAATCAGCGATCCAGTTTGAAATGGGAATTGGGAAACTTTCCAGCCTCGCTCTTCTTGGGTTTTGCTGATGCGGCGCTTTCCGCTCCTGACCGAGGGCTCAATCTGCAGTCGGACTGAAAAATGCAATTAAAACTGAAATCTCTCCTCAAACACATCCTCCTCTCAGACGCGCACACCTAGTTCACTGGTTTCCTTCTCTAAATATTATCTCTCATATCAAAGGCAAACACAACAAATCTTGTCATTTACTGCCTGTGCTGCCTTTGTTTACCGGCGGTAATGCGGGGGGAAAAAGTGGATTGTGGGGGGAGACGGAGAGCGGATCAAGCCGGCGAGCTCTGAAAGGATCTCTGAGGCTGCGGGTGGCTCCGCGGCACCTTTAATCTTACTGAACTTACATGTCCCACACAACCGGTTATTGACTCGCTTTCCCAAATAATCAATGCCCGTGTTTCATGTTAGGTTTTGGGCTCTGCTTAATTGGCGGGCGAAGAGGCACTCTGCCTGCAGGGTACGGCCATTACCTGGACCGGCCTTTGAATTTCAGCTGACCTTGTTGTTCAGCCTTAAGCCTCGAATCTTTTAACAGGCCGAGTCTTAAAGAGAAAGTGCGCTTATTAATGTGTAATGACAATCAAACAGCATTTCAGTCCATACCTTTGATATTATCTTCTGACGTTAAATCAGACAACTCACTCAATCAGTTATTACTGTGTATTAGATGCGAGAATAATGAGATTTTATATTACGTTTATCTCTTTCTTCGATTTCAAAAGTTTACATAAACTAAGATGAGTGTGTCTTTTAACATGGTGGGAAAAGCCCAGTTTGTGATGGTCTGTGACCTTCTGACTGCTTAATTCACAAAATGGGAATAAAATGGAGGGTTTATGTGACTCGTGTGTGTGTTTAGGTGCAAAATGTGCAAATTAGTGCCAGAAATAAACCAAATATGAGGAGATATTAAGTAAATAGGCTGTTTATAAGTTAAATTATATATTTTTTTAAATAAAAAAAAAACCCTCCAATTTTGGCAGAGAACAAAACTATGAAAATCAGGGTAGCACTTTATTAAATGGGGTGTGCAGAAGACTGACACGACACCGTCATGAATGGCATAACGTAAAGTTGCATTAAAACTCAATTAAAAGTGCCAACTTTGCATTGAAGTGTCAACATTTACCAAATAAAGCAACCATGGCTCTTTCAATGGACTTTTAATGCAACTTTTAGCACAGCTTTTCATTAAAAGTGTCATTATTGACCAAAATACACTTCATTCATAAACATTCATAAAGACTCCTTCATCTTCATAACCGATGTTAGTCTTATGAACTCCCTTTCAAATAAAGTGTTACCGAAATCTGGTTTTTCCTAGTCATTACACATTGCTCTGTTTCGCTTTCTTTTTTTACATTTTGTCTAATTTCAACCACAAGCATTTTTAATGAAGATTTTATGAAGAAGCAAAAGTGCCTGTTGCTTTCATTCATCTTTACAAATAAAACCCAAAAGTGCGCATTTAAAGTTCTGCTTCCATTACATTTGCAGAAGTCGCCTCTCTCTCTCTCTTTCAATGGTAAAACCGAAGAATGAATTCGTGTTTGTCTTCCTCGCGTCAAGGCACTTCACTTTCCTGATGGAACGTGAGGATTCCCCTGCAGACACGCGTAGCTCGAGGCCTGCTTTCCCTTTAGCTGCTTTTACTTTTAGATGAGAGTAAATGCAAAAGGAAATCATGCTTGTGTTCTTATTTAGAATTTGTGAAACATTTTCCAGCACTGGAGTACGTGTTCTTTACTCATTTGTATCGTAGCAGGAACGAATCCAGTTGAAAGTGGAGGTTTTTTTTGTCCAACTAAATGTAATTTGAAGCAGACGCTGTATTCACAAAATGGAGCTGTTGTCGGCATACAAAGTAAAACCGACTAAAGGAAAGTTTTCCATTGACGATGTCGGAATGATGATCGTTTTTTTAGTCTTTTATTTGATCAAACAGGTCTTATCAATCTGACACAATCTGAGAAAGGACAGTGAAAACTAACTCTGAGCCACGCCGCATGTTTTCCTTTCTTCTCTCTTCCTGTCCTTCAAGGAGCCCAAACATGAGTCACGCATTATTCAGAGACTCTAAGAAAGGTTTTTATCAAAGCTCTATTTGGCTATTCTGGGGAGACGGCAATACACCCAGTCCTGAGTATTTATATTTGTTATTGTGATATTTATGGTCTGCAGACCTCATATATTACTCACCGCATTGTTTTCTACTCCCATAAAGGAGTGAAACGGGCAGAAGTGGCCCCTTTGTTTATCACTGTTTATTTGTCTCCGTTGGTTTATTAGTTTGTGCCGTGCAGCTTTGTTTGCCTCCAGCTTGCTTGACAGCTTCCCTCCGCTGGGAATAGAGTGGCCTCGCTGTCCCGGCTCTAAATATACACCAATTTTCACCTAATGTTCAGTTTGTTTAAAGTCAGCGCTGTCCGGGAGAAGCCTTGCAGGCACTGAGGAGATTGTGGATTTTCTTTTTATTTATTTCTATTTTTTTCGGTCGTGATGGAGCTGATTTACTGGAAGTTTAGTCAGAGAGCCGAAGTTGCATGGCCGTGGTGGGACACCGATTTTAGATGCTTGACTGACAATCTCAATGTGTCATTTTATGAACCAGGTTACTGACTTATTGGTGAAAAGAAAATAAGAAGTTGGTGTGAAGTCTTTAAATCAACAGCGTCAACTTTCTTTTTCACAATTCTTACATGACTTTGGAAAAGAAAACAGAATTACTGAATTTAGGCAAAATTTAGCCTGAAGTAGTTAAAACTACATCTCTACACCTTCTAATCTTTTACCATAAGGAAATGATCAAGAGATGCACCAGTCACAGCAGTCGAGGCCAATGCAAATAGTTCCCACGACTCTCAAGTTGCCGGTGAGCCGCCATCTTGGTAGGTGAACATTAGCGTAGGTAAACCACGGCTCCGGGATCGACCTGCATGAGACGGAGATTGTGGCTTGTTTGCTGTGGTCATACCAGCTCCATAGCAACTGTCATGATCGTCAGTGACAGGCGCCTACCAAGATGGCTGCCAGCTACAAAGTGTGACATCACATGAGAGCTATTTATTTATAATCACCTATTTTGCAACTAACTGAGATTTATCTTTTAAAAATATAAATACAACGCAAAGTTTTATATATTTTTTTACATAATTAGATGATGTCACACTGTGTGTGTGAGAGATGTCAATATTGTGCAGCTCTGCAACACAACTTGATTATAACTTTAATTTGTCTCCAGCATTTTATGTTATGTATTAGCATCGGTAGCATTGCAGTAAGCATCTATAATGAAACATTCAACATGTTTCATTATAGACCGATTTGCCTCTTGCAAGACAAAAAAAAAGAGTAACTTTGCTACAATGATGATAAAATTGTTCAGCCTTCCTGTCATTTACTGAAACCCCCAAACTTCCTGATGTATGTGATGTAATACAGCCTCTGCAAAACAGAGACTTCTTTACAGTAACTTTTGTATTTTAGATATTTTAACTAATACTTTGAATTTGCCAGCTAAAAAAAAAAAAAGTAGTTTTTACTCTGCAAAAAATTCAAAACTAAATTGTTGGAAGAGTGTCTTTAAATACATCTTCAAAATGTCCTTGAAAATATTGTAAGGCCACAAATACAATGTTTGGTTTTTTTTGTCTTTGTTCATAAATGCGTGAACAAACAGCAGGAACATTGATGCATGAGTGAAAGTCCTTCAAGGGAAATTCAGAATTAGCCAAAGTCGGCCAGTCAGACATTAAAGGAAGGGTCAGTTTCTGCTCTCAATGGTCTGATTAGTACATGTCTAACAATGCATGCTGGTACAATGCAGTCTCAGTCTCAGAGTCTCTAAGACTTCAAAATCGAAATCTTCCATCTGCACTACAACTGCTTCCAAAACAGGTCAAAGGTGTGAAAGTCAAATGTCAGCTCAAAGTTTTCACAAACTGAATTTATACAGTTATTCTGCTTATGTCACCAGAATGAAGCGATTAACAAAGATGAAGCAGGCAGAGTAAGCAGCTGACGTGGCTCTTCTCAAAAGTGTCCAAAGACGCAAACGCGACCTTACGGTTCAGTGAACGAAGACTCTTTCAAATAACAATCAGGGACCTGAGGATGTGGGTGACTCGGATCACGCTACCCGAGTCCAAACGGACTATTTAATATCTCTGGGATGTTGAAGTGTTCTCCAAAGTAAACTTGTTTGGCTAAGAAACTGACAACGGAGCCACAGAATCAGAAGGCAACCATTTGCTCACCCTACCTGGAAGAATTTGGGGTCTTTAGAAGGTTTTGGATTCTTGGAAAAAAACAGGGCAACAATTGTGGAGATTGTCCCTTTGCACCTTTACAGTCTGTTGCAACCACAGCCCTCAAAGCATTTCATTGGTGGTGCTTCAACTCTTCATATAATTAAAAGGAGAGCATCATTTCGAGTCGTTCACCTTGTTTTCACTGGGTTTAGAAAGTGGAAACGAAAGCAATCCTTTGGCCAGGATTGCTTTCAAGGCCTTTTGCAGACAGACTTTTAGCAGATGGCTTTGTATTGCGTCTGAGCGGCAGACGACGCTGCACTGTTTGTCTGTATTGAGCGGAGAACTCCAGCAGACAGTGGAGCAGCTGAGTATTAATTAAGCGGAAGTGCAGTTCACACCTCTCAAGTCTGGAATCGTTTTCCTCAGTCAGAAAATACTTTTGAGACGGAGTCTGGAGTGCTGCGCAGGGCTTAATGGTTTAAACACACACACAAAAAAAAGAGTTATCACATTAACATTCGATCTCCGCTGCAGTCCTCATCCATCATCACAGGCTATCGATAGTTACAGAGTTAATGAGATATAAAAAAAAGTTGTAATTAGTCTGAGTTTCCTCTGGATGTTGACGTCTTTGTGAACGTTTTTGCCTGCAGACGCTCATTTGCTGCTCCTCCACACGAGAGAAGAGGCCACCTCCAGGGCTTTGGGGCGTCTAGGAAGAACGCCTGCTCCATTTTTTCCTTAGGAAATGTTTTTGGGAACATAGCAGTGGACAGAGGCCTCGGGGTTTGCCCAGAACTTGCCGCGGTTTTACGACCGGCGCAGTAATTTGCAGAAAAAACTAGCTGACGAAAGTGAATTTCTAAAGAAACTGCTAGTTTTGGTAGCAGCTTTATAAGTGAGATGCATTGTGGGGGGTTTTCTACTGTTGAGGTGAATCGAAACTGTTCCTCAAAACAAATGCTTTAAGTGAGACTCAGTTTTCACCCTCCTTGAACTTCTCCAAACCCAACGAGAGTGTTTTGCTGGGATTGTATTTGATAGACCACACTTGGATATTTAAAAAAAAAAAAATTATCGATGCGAACACAATAAATGTGATGAGTTTAAACAGTGACTTAAATAATAATAATTTTTTTGTGTAAGAAAGTTGTAAGAAGTCCCGCAGATGCAGGTTCCCTCATCAGATCAGATTAAACACTGTGTGAAAGAAAACTAGTACTCTACATCCCCTAAATTTGTGTTGGTCTGTCACATACAACCTCCGCAAAATGCATTCAATTTGTGGCCTTAATTCGACAAAAATGTAAAGAAGTTGCAGGTAATAATCATTTCTAAAGCAACCCCATTGTTAGTATTTGGTGAATGCTATATATACAAATATATAAATGCTATATTGCGTCTGCTGACAATTTACTTGAAGAAATTGGCATTTTCAAAACAGAACTCAGTATCATCCGATGTGGTAATTTGATACTCCGCAGTGTCATGATCACCTTGCACCTTCAAGTAAAGTGTCGCCTCATTGCTTGTGCGCACGACATTCTGACCTTTTTTCTCTCCTCTGTTCACATCCCTCTCGCCGCAGCCCGGGTGTGCGACAACGAGCTGCTGCGCTGCCAAAACGGCGGGGAGTGTGTGAACAACCGCTGCAGCTGTCCCGCCTCCCACACGGGCCTGCTGTGCGAGAAGCCCCGCTGCGAGTCCGAGCTGGGCGGCTGCAAGGGGCCCGAGTCGGGCCAGGCGTCCCTGAGGCCCCCCTCGCTCTGCGGCGTGCTGACGCTGCTGCTGCTCGGCGACGCGCTGCGGAGGGAAACGCCGTGGCGGGCCGCCGCGCTCTGAACGGACCTGTTCCCACTCCCCGACCCCCGAGCGGGAGCGACACTCAGTCCCACCCTCCACCACCATACTTCCTTCCCTTAAAGATATCCGATAACCATCAAATTAATAAATGATAATTGAAAAAAAAAACAACAACAACCATCAGCTTTCTGGACTGTGACGCACTGAGCTTCCTCTGCTGCCAGACTCGGTGCTGACAATGATGGGAATGTGCCAGACTGAAGCAGAAACTTCTCTATTAAATTTAAAGAAAAAAAATATATATATATATATATATATATATATACTTATATATATAAAGTAAAGAGTGTCTAAAATGAAAATAAGAAAAAAAAATGTATTATTAAAAGTATGAGAAACTGAGCATTTGCCTGATAAATCAAAGAACGGTGAGTCCTCCACCCGCCTCCCTCTAAGCCATACCAGGTACATGAGATCCTTCCAGTTTGGGGAGGAATAACTCGACGTGACAGACTCGTTCACTCCCTTTCTTATTGCCACGGCAACAACAGCTGCAGCCAATCAGTTCTCGCACAAGCCGACGGCGGCCGCCGCCCCCCCTCCCCTCGGGACGCATCTGCGAGTTAACATTTGCTGGACTGACGATGGCGAAGAGAGAGAAAATGTATGAAAATACCTGTCCTTGCCAAGCAGCGAAGAAGACCGTCCTCAGAGATGAAAACTGTTACACTTCAAGGCGATGACAGACAGAGAGCGGTGGAAAAAAAAAAAAGACAAAAAAAACTTAACAAAATAGACATTCTTTGCTGTCAGTGCATTGTGGATAGAAGGAAATCTGTCCGGATTGCCTCTTTGTGACGCAAAAAACAAACTTTGCCCGCGTTGACCCAGAATTCCCGTCGACATCATTTCCCTCTCGGTCTTTCTGTCTCATCCCCTCCCTCGTGTTCAGCCCCCTCACCTTTGACCTCCCCCTGACCCCCGCGCCGCCACTGACCTGTGCATTTGTGAACTTTAACTCTGTAAACCCTGGTTGGTCGAAAGATTCTTCTGTCCAATGTTAGTGATGCACATGTGTGAGAAGCTCTCCCCTCCTCTTTCTCCTCTTCCTCCTCTTCCTCCGTTCTCTCATTCCTCTCCTCTACTTCCAAAAAGATAATCTAGTGAAGCTGTTTCTGTCTTAGGGCCGCCTCGCTCCCTACAATCGTGGACAGAGGGTAGTTTTTTTGTTTGTTTGGTTTTTTTTGGGGGGGTTGTTTTTTACCCCGGGCAGACAAGAAGTGCATAGAGAACCATCCAGTGTATTTGCAAGTTCTTTTTCTTGGCAAGAAGAAGGAAAAACAAAAAAATTAAAATAAAACAAGTCATGTAGTCCTTTTTGTATCTCTGCCAAACTGTGATTGAAAAAAGGCAACCTTTAATGTATCTATTTAAGACATCCAAATGCGGAAGCAATGGTATTCTTCTCTTTTTATTTCCTCTCTTTTTTCTTTTTTTTGTTAATTATTTTATTATTAATCATTATTTTTGTTTCCTCTGAGCTGTGCAGTTGATTTCCCTTTGTATTGGCAACGTGCTGGCATCAAAGAATATTAGTTTACATATAAAGTATTAATAAAGTGTATTAAAATCCCACCAAAGGACATTATAAATGTTTTGTTCTTGCTTTAACACTTGAAGATTTAAGTGAATAAAAGTGAAAAACTAAACTGTGTCGATGGTTTTATCATGTTATTTTTGAAATTGTTAGATATTGTCCAACTGTGTGTGTGTGTGTGTGTGTGTGTGTGTGTGTGTGGGTGTGTGTGGGTGTGTGTGTGTGTGTGTGCGTGTGTGTGTGTGTGTTTTTTTATTATTTCAATGATGCAATCTTCCCTGTCTGGATCATTTCTTATCTCATGTAAGCAGGCTTTTGAATTTTTCATTTTCGCACAACAGCATGCTATTATGAGCTGCATACAAGTATCGTCCTGAATCTTAAAATAAGTGTCAAAATTTATGGGTTTTTTTACATAAATTACAGACGATGTCAGTCCCAAAAAGTCCCAGACTGATAGTCCTACTGGAGGCTTAGATGATTTTTTTATTGAGAAAGCTCAGAATGTAAAACAGGCTACATAAAATGATATATAATTAAGAATAATGATTCATTTGTAAGAATGTTACTTTTTCTTTTCTTTTTTTGTCACACTTAATTACAAAAATATGATTGCACGCATCCCCAAACCCCACAGCTGGGTGTGAGCTGCAAGAAAACATGTGATGAATAAAAATAGCTTGGAAAAAGAGTTTGTTAATAAGAATGAATAAAAAAATAAAAAAAAAACATCTGTGGATATTTCTGTGGAACATAAGAGCTGATTATTTGCAGTTTCATTTCATTGAACGTCTCCAAAACATTTGAAAGAACATGGAGTACGCAGGCGCAATGCTCCTTTATTTCATATCTGCCGATTAGCCAATATTGGAATCGAGTGTTCGAGACGTTAGAAGCTAAATGTTAGCTTCTGGTCGACTGCACTCTAAAACTGCTTTAGAGCAGCAATTTTGGCCGGCGTGTCTGTTGGTTGAATAAAAAAAAAATAACTTACAGGTTGGACCTTTCATGAAACTCCAACCGCCTCTAGAAAAATGAGAGATCACCTATTCTCTGCCAGATTGACTCACCAAATCGACTCAAGACAATTTTTCACATCGCTCGTCTCAGGCGATGTGTGTCTGCAGAGCTGAGACTCTAAGTTAACCGAAAGCTCAATATCCAATTTAACGTAAACCCTGTGTGAAGTGTCTGAATCCAACAAATGTCATTGTCTAAATCTGGGATTTATTACATATATTCAATAAAACCAAATAATAGAGACAACACAAAACGAACCAAATGTTCCTCAGACGCTGTTTTGTGTGTGTGTGTAAAATGTGTAACTCCAGGGACCGCCCGATAAATTCAGTCAAAGTCACTTGTTTGTCAAGGTCCCCTACAGTGGCCCCGATTTCAACCGTGTGCTCAGCCCAGGTGTCAGCGCGCCATGCTGCGTCGAGAATTAAAATAGAGGTTTGTCATTTGGGGAGAGGACTGCATCCAAGACGTTTCACCCTGAGCAGCTGCTGGACGACCCGACCAGGACTCCTTGGAGCAAACCACCTTTTGCCTCTGGATTTTACCCCCTATAAGGTGCTCAGCTGGTGTAGAGTTCAAAAAAGACTCAAAAAGTGGGTGTGTTTTTAGCACACACACAAAAAAAAAAAAAAAAAATTGTGTGGAGTCAGAAACTCATCAGAGACGACGGCAATGTCATGTTTGGATTTTGAAGAAAACGTGATTTTGAATCTGTTGGCTAATTCAACTGACACTGACACTTCAGTTGCTGCGCTGCAGAAATATCGCCAAGCATTTTGTCCAGGTTCTAGTTCAGATCTCATAGTTCCCTTCAAATAAAACAAAGCAAACTTACAAATAACTGCATGAAGACACAGGACCTGGCTATAAATCAATAATTCCTTAATATTCGCTGAACAATCGCCAGCTGCAGGGGAAATAATCCGCCAGTGGAATAAATAACTTCCCAGTTAATTACTGCACTTATCACATCTTTTAATGGCAGCCATATTTATTCAGCAGGTGACTTTGATGCTAGGCAAAGCACTAATTAATTGTGAAATACTAATAATCTTTATTTTTAAACAGTTTGTTCATGAATTAAAATCTGATCTCGTTCGTGTTCAGCACCTCTTCACGTACAGAACAACCACCTTCATGCTTTTATTCAGAAGGGTCAGGAGAGCTCGCCGGGATTGCTGCGAAACATCCGAATACGTTCAGATGTGATGAAAGGGGCCTAGTTAAAGTCCAGCTTCAAATCCAACTGTACTAACATTTGAAAACTGATGCTTATGCGTCCCTTCTGTCCACTCTGACTGAACGTGAGGCGTTTTGCTAAACAGAAACCGAACTCAAAGGCCGCAGTCTCGCCCCGTAACACCTGCGAAAACAGGAGGCCCGACGAACGATCGACTCACTGTTACATGCCGCACTTTTCAGATTGATAGCCACAAAAAAAAAAAAAAAAATGCAGGAAGCCAGATATACTCCCTAATATTAATACAAACTGAGTCCTCTCATTGCGTCGTCATGTGTTCATTCGGTGCCCTCATGTTTCCGATGTTAAGTGACTAATGTTGTGTAAAAGGCCAAGCGAAAACAAACCCTAGAAGCAGACTTACTTTAGTTCTGCTTGAGAAGTATTGACCATGCAGCAGCCCCATTATTCCTGCTGCGGCTGTTTGTGTGATGATCAATGCACTTATTGAACCACACAGAGCACTTATTGATCAGTGTTCCTTTTTCCTTACAGTGGGGGCATTAAGTGGTATCCGTTTTTTTTTTTGTTTTTTTTTTCAAATGCTGTCTAGTTTTGTCTACATTGGAACCAGAAATACAGCACAGCGTCGCCTATTACTGGATATTCAGCTTCTAGAGTTGGCGGGTGTCCTTCACTGTAAAGTTGTTTTTTCTTTTTAAGCTTTTGGTGGAGCTATCAATTGGCCTCACAGCTCCGTTTTTCACACGGATCGTCTGGAACACTGACACGTTGTGGCACGACCTGCAACTTATTCACAAGAGAGGAACTCGCAAAGGTTTTCCCCCCACAAATAAGCTTTCGTTTTACGTTTTGCACGGCTGCAAATTTGAATCTACTCAAAGTGCTTGCATTTTGAGCAAACCTTCTGCAAACCTTCTTCGCTGTCTTTCTCACTTCTGTTTTTCTTGTCAGGTCTCAACATCTATCTTTATTTTATTATTTTTAACCACATTCGACATGTTCTGCTTCGTTCCTCTGAAGCTTCAGCTGCGTTCGTAAGGCGCTTTGGTTTTAAGTGGGATCCACTGCATGTTCCAATGTGAAACCTTTGCTTCGTAGATCAGGTGCACATCTCGGCTGAGTGACGATGCGGAGTGAGAACTTTGGTGTGATGCTGTCATCATCCGTCGCTGTTCCTCCGCTCCCCTGCCTGCTGATTAGCTCATTGTGCTGTGCTTCTGCTCATGCTGGCTGCTGATTGGCTCTGTCCTTACTCCACGCAAGCTCTCAGTTCCTCTTCCATTGTCTGGTAATTGGGAACCTTTTTCTCTATCTCTCACCACAATGAGCTCCAGTTCTGTCATCTGCAGGCCACCTTTTTGTTCCTTTGATTATTTCTCAGACAGTAATGTTCCACCTCCTGTTTTCTTCTTGGATGCATTTTCCCTGGAAGCTGACAACGTCCTGCATTCATGTTCTTTATTATGAATACATTTTGTAGATTTATTTTTTTGTGGTGGTTGTCGTTGTTCTGGGTGCAAACTGAACAAAGATCACATGAAATACCTTTCATGTGCAAATTTCCAAAGTTCCTTATAGGTTCTAGATGTATGGAAATCCCAAGTTTTTGATTTAACTCTGAGGAGTTGAGAGTTAAAAGGCCTCTGGTTGCATGCATGCGTCATCATGCATGCATCTTAGAGACTGTCCCCCATATTGCTATTGATGCAAAATACCGTCTGACCAAACAAATTTATAAACATCAGTGCGATAGCTCACCCCATGAAAAATGACCATCTCATGAAAGCTGCCAATCTTTGATGCATATGAAAGAAAATGAACCTGCTGCGCAGTAGATTTGGGTCGTTCTGTTTTCCTTGTTTTTTTCCAACCCCCCCAAAATTCATAAAACCCTTGCGCTCGTGAAATGTTCCCGTATTAAACCCGCCTTCTGATTTTAATAAACAGATTATATATTCACTCCATCAACATTTCTCTTGACCGCTGTGATCATTGGGAGAGCAAACATTCAAAACCTCACTCTCCAGTTAAGGAGTATAATTAACTACATGCATTTTTCTTTTTTTTTTTGTTACCATCACAGATTTTCATGGCTCATCGTGGTCAAATATCTTCAACAATTTAGTGAAAAAGATGCATCACTCTGACTTTTAGAGTCTGAGACGTTATTCCTTTTATCAGATTTGATTCTTACAAGGAGTCATTAGCTAATTAAAATATCTTAGACAAGAAATTATGTCTCTTCTTTGAGGACAGAATAACTGACCTGCTGTAAATTGTGCCTCGCTGATGATAGGCAGGTTAGAATATGCTTGTATTTATTGTAATCTGCATTAGAAGAGTGGCAATCATGGCTTCAATATTTTTGAAAGTGTACTGAAGAGATTTCTACATGTGATAATAGATATACACGGTCGCCTCGTTACAGTCGGGCGATGGTGGACTCACCCTAGGGGGGAGCAATAGGTCCATAAAAAATGTATATCGCAATAGACGCACGTCAGCATCAACAGAAAATTAGTCAGATTCAATCATTTCTCTGAACTCCGATCCAGAACTGCACAACATGCTGGCGGTTCGAGGCAAAGGAAGTTGCTTTAGCCGCTCAACATCTCCCGGCCAGACATCGACTAAATCAGGCATCAGTTACTTATCAACAACCTGTTGAGTAGTTTTGTGTTTCGCCATGGTGCTTAAAGACAAAAACAAGTGGAAGAAGAAGAAAGGAGACGATGAGTTCAACAGCTAAAGGAAATTGTGTAAAAAAAAACAGGAAAGGTCACCTGAGTGTACTTAAAACCAAAATAATTAAAAATAATGGCTGATAGGAAACACTTATACTGAGAAAAGTCTTTCAGTCTTAACTTGCCTTTTGCCTGAAAGGTGGA